TTTCCTCAGAGTTTCAGAGAGAAATGCACTGTAACCAGCATGTACAACATTTGCTGCCTTCCTTCCTTAAATAAGGGCAATAATTGCCACCTGTTTTTCAAAGAATGCATGACCTCACTAATAGAACTCCACACTGCTATTATTTTGAACATGCCCCTTTCAATTAGTGATTCAATTACACAGAATCAGCAGCATGCATGTCATGACTGTTGGGTCTGTTGGATTTCTATTACTCTATTACACCTGCTAGTAAATTATTTGCCATGTAGAAATATCATTTCTACCAAAAACAATGATTGATCAGGTTAGTGATGTCTGACTGCTATTATTTTGAACACAACTGTACATGCAGTAGTACCTGTTACATGACCTATGCAGACGATAATGAGCACTGCTCGTCTATGTACGAATGTGTGACACCATACCATCTCTATAGCTGCCTGTCTAAGATCAAACCATCAGGTACAACAGTCATCTGTAGAAAACTAGGCAAACCTTGCCTATAGACATTGTAAACTTTCAAATGTTTTTGTTGTTTTAGCCCTGGTTCACATTGATGCAGTGCGGAATTTGCAGCGATTTCTTTGCAAATTCTGTACCGCATCAGAATCATACCCAGTTCATGCGAACCAATGCGGTTGTGTATGTTAATAACACCCCGAAATTAGTCCACAAAACGCGGTGCGATGTGCAGAATTGGATCACATAGGTGTGAATACCCATGTGATCCGATTCTAGTGCAGACCCAAAAAATGGTCCTGCACCTTTTTGGTGCGAGTGTGGTGCTATTTGAGCCATACAAAATGTATGGCTCCGATCGCACCGCACACAAATTGCATGTGATTTGCAAAGGAATGAGGTGTGGTTCCTGTGCAAATCACATGCAATGTACAGAGCCGCACAAGTGTGACCCCAGGCTTAACTACTTATTAGTGTAGTTATATTCCCTGTGCTGTTTCTTACATCATAACGATGGGCTCACATGCTGTGGCTGTAGTTTGTCATGGCTGATCATTTTCCCTATGTCCATGATTTGCTACAGCTATGAACAAGCAAAATGCAAGTACAGGTGAAACTCGAAAAATTAGAATATCGTGCAAAAGTTCATTTATTTCAGTAATGCAACTTAAAAGGTGAAACTAATATATGAGATAGACTCATTACATGCAAAGCAAGATAGTTCAAGCCGTGATTTGTCATAATTGTGATGATTATGGCTTACAGCTCATGAAAACCCCAAATCCACAATCTCAGAAAATTAGAATATTACATGCAATCAATAAAACAAGGATTGTACATGGAACAATATCGGACCTCTGAAAAGTATAAGCATGCATATATACTCAGTACTTGGTTTGGGCCCCTTTTGCAGCAATTACTGCCTCAATGCGGCGTGGCATGAAAGCTATCAGCCTGTGGCACTGCTGAGGTGTTATGGAAGACCAGGATGCTTCAATAGTGTCCTTCAGCTCTTCTGCATTGTTCGGTCTCATGTCTCTCATCTTTCTCTTGGCAATGCCCCATAGATTCTCTATGGGGTTCAGGTCAGGCGAGTTTGCTGGCCAATCAAGCACAGTAATCCCACGGTCGTTGAACCAAGTTTTGGTGCTTTTGGCAGTGTGGGTAGGTGCCAAGTCCTGCTGGAAAATTAAGTCAGCATCCCCATAAAGGTCGTCTGCGGAAGGAAGCATGAAGTGCTCCAAAATCTCCGGTAGATGTCTGCGTTGACCCTGGACTTAATGAAGCACAGTGGACCAACACCAGCAGATGACATGGCTCCCCAAATCAACACAGACTGTGGAAACTTCACACTGGACTTCAAGCATCTTGCAGTGTGTGCCTCTCCATTCTTCCTCCATACTCGGGGTCCTTGGTTTCCACATGAGATGCAAAAGTTGCTCTCATCGGAAAAGAGGACTTTGGACCACTGAGCAACAGACCAGGTCTGTTTTTCTTTGGCCCAGGTAAGACGCTTCTGACGTTGTTTGTCGTTCAGGAGCGGCTTGACAAGAGGAATACGACATTTGAAGCCCATGTCCAGGATCCATCTGTGTGTGGTGGCTCTTGATGCACTGACTCTAGCCTCAGTCCACTCCTTGTGAAAAGTCCCCAACACTTTTGAATGGCCTTTTTCCTGACAATCCTCTCCAGGCTGCGATCATCCCTGCTGCTTGTGCACCTTTTTCTTCCACACTTTTCCCTTCCACATAACTTTCTATTAATGTGCTTTGATACAGCACTTTGGGAACATCCAACTTCTTTTGCAATTACCTTTTGAGGCTTTCCCTCCTTATGGAGAGTGTCAATGATGGTTTTCTGCACAACTGTCAGGTCAGCAATCTTTCCTATGATTGTGATTCCTACTGAACCAGACTGAGAGACCATTTAAAGGCTCAGGAACCCTTTGCAGGTGTTATGGCTTTATTAGCTGATTAGAGTGGGACACTTTGAGCCGAGAATATTGCACCTTTTTACAATATTCTAATTTTCTGAAATTGTGGATTTGGGGTTTTCATGAGCTGTAAGCCATAATCATCACAATTATGACAAATCACAGCTTGAACTATCTTGCTTTGCATGTAATGAGTCTATCTCATATATTGGTTTCACCTTTTAAGTTGCATTACTGAAATAAATGAACTTTTGCACGATATTCTAATTTTTCGAGTTTCACCTGTATGTCGTAAAGGTACACTTCAGGGCACCTACTATTTCAAAATTCAATACAATCTTATTAAAAGTTAACCCTAAGGTGTGCAATAAAAATAATGATCAGAAGGGATATATAGCTATAAAGGGCATTGAATACTACCATTCAGAATATTATTAGTACCATGTATTGGATAATACTTTTAGTTTAAAAGGTTTTATTACACCTTTAAGGCTTAATGCTGAAATGCGTAAGCCATTTTATATGCACATTTTATTAGCTCAATAAAGTTTATTATTCGAGAAGACGAGTGCCGACTATACCAATCCTTATCATTCATTTGCTACAGCTAACCTGTCCCTAATCGCCAAAGGGATGCCCATTCACTCCATGTGGCATCCTAATTGTGGGAGTGCTAATGTAACAAAGAAACCTTTTTTCAGCTGCACCAGTGAGTTCTCTGTGTGTCTGTGAATGCTCTGCCTGTTTGTGTCTGTGTCAGATCTAATTAGTTTTCGCATGCAGAGCACTAGACTGAGAAAACCAGGGGTCGTGGGATATGTAGTTTCTTCAGGAAGTGCTAGTTCTCAGACTACAAACAGGTCATGCATTATATACATAGAAAATCAGCGAGCGCTAACGAAAACAGCAGCTAATTGCACCAGAAAAAGGAACTACAAGTCCTCTCAATAAAATCAAATAAAACAAGGAAAAGTGCAGCGCATGTGATATAACTGATAAGTGTCTGATAAATATCTATAACATCATTATTAACAACCAGAGACCATTAAAAAGCACATATAAGTCCCATTGATTAGCTCTATGGCGTGAAGGTGCTATTCAAAGTGAAATCCCAGCAGGCTGTGCGTAAATATTCTGAGAATCAGAAATATATGATAAGGTGAGAAGTGGTTATCATCCGGTGGTGTGCGACAGATTAGTGGGATTGCAAACTCACCAGAAGCGCAATTTTAATGCGCGTTGGTTATAAACGTCAGACTGGAGATCTCCCCTCAATGGAACCTGGTCTGGTCTACGATACTCTCCCTCTGATTTTATGGGCGTTTAAGTGATGTCAATCAGAGGTCCCTCTTATGGATTGTATAATAAGGTCTGGTCATAGGGAAAAACAATCCTTCCTCTGGGCTGGATGAGACCTGGGTCCTTTACATCAGTGTCCACATGGCTATATAAAAATCTTCTCCATTATGCATTATACTGGCCAGAGCCATGCGGCATGCCTCATTTTTTAACACAAACAGAAACTTCTGAAGCAGGAATGTTGAAGATTTACTCTACTATAGGCCATGCACACAGGCCAACAAATACCAGCATGAAACTACTTGATCAATGCACAAAAAAAATCAAAACGTTAGGATGTCAATTGTGCCCCCCCCCCCCCCCCCCCCCGTTTTAACCAGTAATGATGTACAAGATTGTAAGCCTTCCCAAATATTGTATTTTCATCCTATAAATTACCTTGCAATAAAAAAAAATGCCCTATCTAAACTTAGGTTGCTTTTGCAAATAAAATTTAAATATATAGTTTATTTTCTGCAACAAGCAAAATGTTTTGTATAGGTACATATAAATAATAAACCACAAAAGTCCTGTTCATTAATAAAGTTGTTTTCTCTGCCATTTTTGTTTCTTTCTCCTTTGTAACAGATTGTGGTGCAGCTCCAGTATTACCCTTTAACAAGATAGTCGGGGGAAGCGGTTCCCTGAGAGGAGAGTGGCCGTGGCAAGTTAGTCTCTGGCTGCGAAGAAAGGAGCACAAATGTGGAGCTGTGCTGATCGCGGACCGTTGGCTGCTGTCTGCCGCTCACTGTTTTGACATGTAGCTATTTGCAGGGCTATATTTATTCTGTACTGGTTACTAGAATGTCACTAAATGTCATTTCCTTATCATTTCTATAAAAATCAGATTTCAGCAAAATGCTGCTACTTTAGTACACTTCATAACTGCATTAGAGTCAATGGGGAGGGCCAAGTTAATGTGTTTTTTATGAGTGCTATGGGCTTCAAATGGCTCCTAAATTTTACTGAAGCTGGTTTTGACTAACCTTAAAGCGGAGTTCCACCCAAAAGGGGACGTTCCACTTTAAAGATTGGTTCCCCACTCCCCATCCGCTCCCCATTAAGGATTGGCAACTTTGGGGAGTGGGGGGGGGGGGGGTACTGGGTACCTGAATTTGACAGGTACCCGCTCCCACTTCCGCTGTGATCGCCTAGGCGATCCGAAACAGAAGTTGTCCCCTATATCCTCTCTCCCTGAAGTCTTGTGGGACACGTGACAGGTCCCAGAAGACGACGGGACCATTCAGGAAGCGCAGAGCTCCTCACGCATGCGCAGTGGGCACCCGGCTGTGAAGCCGCAAGCTGTCACAGCCGGGTGCCCACACTGAAGATGCCGTCACCTGGAATACAGGACGCCCGGTGAAATGGGCTGCGGCGGGGGGATCGTTGGACAGGTAAGTGGCTGTTTTTTAAAAGTCAGCAGCTACAGTTTTTGCAGCTGCTGACTTTTATTTTTTTACAGAGTGAGTGGAACTCCACTTTAAGCAGGCCATGCATTATATAATTTTCTTGTTCAATTTCCTTTAGATTTCCTTCAACTACTATAGTGCAAGGGCTTCTCTGATTGTATATACATTGAAAGTGTTTAGGTTTGACCTCATATTATATGAATTTGGTAAATCTAAAATTTAACAAGAAAATTGTATAATGTATGGCCAGCCTTAGTCTTCATATTTCAAAGAATGTATGATAAAACATTAAAGTGACAGTACTCAAATTACAATGCACAGAAAATGGAAAAAAACAGAAATAGAAAAAAACTGAAAATCTGTAAACTAAATTACCTTAAATTAATTTCCCCTCTTAAAAAACATCCTCTAAAAAAAAAAAAAAAGAAAAGCTTAACCAGTTCCCGCCTGGCCTACTGTAAAATTACAACCGGGCAGGATTTTAGTCACTCTGGGTGGACGTGATATGATTACCTCCTGGATCGCTGCCTCGCGCACGCATCTGCAGGGCCGATCTGTCTCAACTGTGGCGAGATCTGTCTCCAGCTGTGTCCATCGGACTCAGCCAATTACTAGTCTGCGTACCGGCTCATTTGTGGTACCATGTGACCGCTGTGACCAATGACAGCAGCTCACATGACTATTGTAAACAATGGATGGCTTCCTTTCATGCCATCCATTGTATACAATTTGTGTTGCTAGCTTTGATTGGTCACAGTGATCACATGGTACAGACTGGGCCAATCACAGCCCATCTGTGTCATGTGATTATCTGTGCCCAATCACAGCTAATTACAACAAAACAAATTGAATGAATCGGTTTCATTTAGTTTAGTGCTTGCTTATAGCAATGAAATTCATTGCTATAAGCAATCATGTGTAAAAAAAAAAAAAAATACTGATCACTTCCCCAGAGTAGTGCAATGTTACTATGATAACATTATATTATTCTGGTCACAGTGTGGTAGAAAAAAAATTGTAAAAAAAAATTTATTTTTTTTTGTACTCACTGGTCACATTTTAAAAAAAAATCTCTTCATTTTCCAAAAATTTATGACAAAACAATTACAACTTCAAAAAACTTGCCATGCCTCAGTCTGTCTACTTTCCAAAAAAGGGTAATTTGTGGATACCTGTACTGCCCTGGCATTTGTGGGCATCACAAAATGAGATAGGCCATCAGTACATCAGGATTGATTGATTTCCATAGTTTGTGGACTCTATAAATTTCCTACAGGCTAAATAATATACACTGATTTGGGTTATTTTCACCAAAGAAATGTAGCAGTATACATTTTGGCCTAAATTTATGAAGAACAATTATTTATTTGCTAAATTATATTACAGAAATGAAGAAAAACAAAATTTTCAGTCTTTTTTCATTTATTTAGCAAACAGTAAAACCCCAGTGGTTGTTAAATACCACCAAAAGAAAGCTCTAGTTGTGTGAACAAAATGATAAAAATTTAGTTTGGGTACAGTGTTGCATGACCGCGCAATTGTCATTCAAAGTGTGACAGCATTGAAAGCTGAAAATTGGCCTGGGCAGAAGTGGTTAATAAGCAAAATTCAGTCTCCATTTTTCCAGAAGATAAAATTGTTGATTTCACACAATTTACTCCTCTCATTTCCATTGGCTGCTCTTTCTTAGGCAGAAAGATGTCTATGTGAATGATTGTATTCTATGGAATAGATGCTGTATATAGATGGAACATGAAGATCATGATACAACAAATTACTTCATTTTGACTGTATTTTGTCAATTAATTGAGCTTTCTGGCAACCATCTTAAAGTAAACCTGTCATAAACAGAGGCAAGTCCAAAATGTCCCATTAGTCCTCTTCCCCTCTGGAACAATTATTTTCATTTATCACACACGTTAAAATCCTAGCCGGGATTTTGACAGCTGTGGAACCAGAAACAGTCAGAGATGAGCGTTTACGGGGGTTTACTCTGCACAAATAAGATTGGGGAATGGATGTACCCCTAGCTCCTCTCGCTTACCATCCTGATGTCACTTGTTGTTGTACCGGACTCCTGAAAGGAGCAGGAGAGCTAAGAACCACCAAGCAGGAGAGGCTGGCACCCACAAGTGCAATATAGCCAGAAGACTTTTAGGGCTCATTTACACTTGATTCAAAATTTGGCATCGGACGTGCTTTTTTTTTTAAAATGCCAGTCGAAGCACCTGTCACGAAGTTAAATGGAAAAGCTTACAGTACTGTTTACACTTTGCATTTGCTTTGCTTCAAAAATTATACCCAATATTGCTTTCTTGGTGCTTCAAAAGTATCTCCAAAACCTCCATAGAAGTCTATGGCAAAGCTCGCTTACAGCATCTGCAGCTTTTGAGATACTTTTATTCAGCTTTAGCTTCCCTTTGTTTTGGAGGTATTGCAGGTATGAGATATCTCAGGATGCACTGGGAATCCAACAAGTGAACCATAAAGATGTCATCAGCAGTCACTTTCAGTTCATATATATATTCTGGAAATAAACAGAGGGCGCACCGGGCCTAGTGCATTAAAAGGATAAAAAGTTAGTATCGTACTCACAATTGACATACAGGACAAAGGCACATCACATTAAATAGCAGTGTCCAATCCACACTGCATATAAGTCCAAAAATGGAACCCTGGACTTCCAACTGGCTAACACATTTCGAGGAAGCTGAGTCCTTGAAACTCGTAAGCCAGTTGGAAGTCTAGGGTTCCATTTTTGGACTTATATGCAGGGTGGATTGGACACCGCTGTTTAGTGTGATGTGCCTTTGTCCTGTATGTCAATTGTGAGTACGATACTTACTTTTTATCCTTTTTAATAAATATTTTTTATGATAATGCACTAGGCCGGTGCGCCCTCTGTTTGTTTTCTTTCTAGCTAGTGACTTTGGACTACCCCGGTCCATTGAGGGCAACAAGGAGTGCATATTCCAGGACATCTGAATTATTACCTCAAGGTTATAACTGTCTCGCGAAGCATGTCCTCAGTCTGCAACAACTACTAATAGCATGTTTGTGGTCTCAGACCATCACCTGTTGCATCTTCTCCATATAGCATTCTGTAGCATTGCATTCACTGAATATAACGTGTGGCCCCTGGGCAATTTGAGGACTTATTAAGTAAGTTGACCATCAATGACCGAAGCCTTCTAGGAATTTACAGATTTAGGTACACAATCCATAAAAGTTGCTGATAACAAATGCATTTTATGGCGAGTGGTTCTCATGTTTCAGTTCTGGTCTTCCACACTTGCTATAAACCTGTATGATTTCCACCATGACTGTGCTTTTCATTATTCTCAGCTATGGTGATCCAAAACTGTGGGCAGCATACTTGGGAACCCCCTTTCTTAATGGAGTGGAGGGAAGAGTGGAAAAGATTTTCCGGATACATAAGCATCCTTTCTACAATGTCTACACACTGGATAATGATGTGGCCTTACTGGAGCTGCCTTCACCACTCTCCTTTACTAATCTGATCAAGCCCATCTGCCTTCCAGATACAAGTCACAGCTTTTCAGAAGGAACCAAATGCTTTATCACAGGTTGGGGATCTACTAAGGAAGGAGGTAATCTCACAGCAAAATCAGTGCTCTATAAATCATGTAAAATACTGGCTGGGTTCCGCCTTAATGTCCATATGTGAACTTTGGCTTGTATATATCCCAGGTCCAATGTCCAGACAATTGCAGAAAGCCTCTGTTACCATAGTTGGGGATCAGACATGCAGAAAATTTTACCCCATTCAGATCAGTCCCAGAATGCTTTGCGCTGGCTTCATGCAAGGAGGAGTTGACAGTTGCTCGGTATGTATTGTTCAAATATTGTTGCCTTTAATATGCATTTAGTAGACCATGATCTGTCAAAACTGCCCATATTGCACTATTTATCCATTGACTTTTTTTTTTTACATTTTAGGTAAAATTAGACAATTAATCAGAACTCAAGCCATAATCTCAGAGTCTCAATTATAAACCCACTAATATACACTATATTGCCAGAAGTATTGGGACACCCCTCCAAATCATTGGATTCAGGTGTTCCATTCAGCTCCATGGCCACAGGTGTATAAAATCAAGCACCTAGGCATGCAGACCGCTTCTACAAACATTTGTGAAAGAATGGGTCACTCTCAGGAGCTCAGTGAATTCAAACGTGGTACCGTGATAGGTTGCCACCTGTGCAATAAGCCCATCCGTGAAATTTCCTTGCTACTAAATATTCCACGGTCAGCTGTTAGTGGTATTATAACAAAGTGGAAGCAACTGGGAACAACAGCAACTCAGCCATGTAATATGATGGAGCGGGGGTCAATGCATGCTGAAGTGCACAGTGCGCAGAAGTCGCCAACTGTCTGCAGAGTCAATAGCTACAGACCTCCAAACTTTCTGTGGCCTTCAGATTAACAAAATAGTGCGTAGAGAGCTTCATGAAATGAGTTTCGATGTCTGAACAGCTGCATCTAAATCTTACAATACCAAGTGCAATGCAAAGCGTCGGATGCAGTGGCGTAAAGCACACCGCCACTGGACTCTAGAGCAGTGGAGACATGTTCTCTGGAGTGACAAATCACGCTTCTCTGTCTGGCAATCCCATGGACGTGTCTGGGTTTGGCGGTTGCCAAGAGAACGGTACTTACCTGACTGCATTGTGTCAAGTGTAAAGTTTGGTGGAGGGGGGATGATGGTGTGGGGTTGTTTTCAGGGGTTGGGCTTGGCCCCTTAGTTCCAGTGAAGGAAACTCTTAAGGCGTCAGCATACCAAGACATTTTGGACAATTTCATGCTTCCAACTTTGTGGGAACAGTTTGCAGATGGCCCCTTCCTGTTCCAACATGACTGCACACCACTGCACAAAGAAAGGTCCATAAAGACATGGATGAGT